GAGAGAGAGAGAGAGAGAGAGAGAGAGAGAGAGAGAGAGGTTTCTGTTCGATGACATTTGGATTCAGGCTCGACATTGGGATTGAGACATTGGACGAGGGATTATTTGGGACCTGTATCGAAGACTTGGTGTTGACGGCATTCCCATCTTCCCCCTCTTCTTCGTCTGATCCCCCTCCTCTTCGTCTGTGTATGGTTGGGGACTGGTGCATTCTTCCTGTGTGAGCGCCAGGCCCCTTCACACCATGCGATGATGATGATGATGATGTATGTTTGGTCTGCATTGCGACATTGATTGGTCTGATCATTGGGATTTTAGCCTTCCGCTGCGCTATCCTGTACTACGTGAGAGAGGTCGGTTCTTGTTCTGGTCTGTACCATTACGGCATGCAACAGTTTGGTATCGGAGCAGATCTCTCAATCAGAGGATCCGCCCAATCAAGGAGCCAGCTTGCTTGATCGACTGATTGTTGAATGAATGATTGAATGGTTGATTGATTGATTGATTGATTGTTTATTAGTCAATCAAGTAGGGCTTCGTCAAATCTCTGCAAAAAAAAATAAAAAAATTGCAACTTCGGAGATTAGCATTTCGTTTTTTTTTTGTTCTACTCTGGGCATATTAGGTGAAGTAGGGAGGTTGTCAAATTCTCGGACTTGATCTATTCTTCTCTGAAAGTGGAACCTCCATTCTATTTCGCGCTAAAAATTTTCAAGATCGGATTTTTTTGAGAGCCGAAACTTTGCGAAACCTTGCCTAGATCCTCCATTCTATTTCACGCAAACAAATTTTCAAGATCACATTTTTTTTTAAGCCGAAACTTTGTGAAACCTTGCCTAGATCTTGTTCGTAGCACTCCTCCGTAATGCCTCACTAATAGCAGATCGACAGATATACAAAAAAAGGGGGGGGTGATCCTCTTCTTTTATTTTTTTATTTTTTTATTTTTTTATGTTGATTATGACCGGGAATGGAAAGTGCAGTTTTGTTACCTTCCTGCGTTTCCCTCCCACCCACCCCTTTGTTTGCATTCCCGGTTTTGTAAGTGCCACGTCAGCAGCAGTGCCACAACAGCAGTGCCACGTCAGCAGTGCCTCGTCAGCAGTGCCACGACAGGAGTGCCACAACAGCAGCAGTACCAATGTCAGCAGTGCCCCACCACCATGAAGGTTTCAGCTTTGGGCATGCCAGACCAACTGGCCAACGAGTCCATTGCTGAGTACCGACAGCGGTTCCAAGCTCAGCTCGCACTGATCGAGGTTGAGGAACAGCGCCAGGCGACAGCTGAGGCTGCCCGCCTACAGGCTCAAGCAGAGGCAACAGCTGAAAAGCAGCGGCTTCAGGCCGCAGCTGATGCAGATGCCCATGTCCGCCGCAAGGAGGTCCAGGATCTGCTGCAGCGGCACGAAGCCGCCAGTGTCGACAGGCTCAAGTTTTGGCATTTTGAACCATCCGAGGACCATGACGACGTGACACCGGAAGAGCAGCACAAGGAGTTTCTCTCCAAACTCGTGACCCGGTTGGTTTACACTTGTAACCGCCTATAGTCCGAGCTGGCGAATCTCCGACGGACAGTGTGGAACCACAAGGATCTGCATGAGGATGCTACACGGGCACTCGATTCCTGTGTACAGGACTTGGAGCAAGCAGCACCAGGACCAGATGTTGGCGAACACAACAACACAGTCTCAACCCGCCAGTTGGAGCAATGAGTTGACCATGTAGTCGCAATGCTCGGTGACATCAGCACCTTCACCGCACTAGCCACCATCAGCGAGCAGCTCGACACCTTTGAAGACCGAGGTCCGACAACTTCACCAGCCGCCCGACAACGATGGCGGTACCAGAGATGTCGTAAAAACAATGTAATCTGGAGCTTTAGTATCGCGGGACAAATTACATTGGAGAGGCGTATAATACCGTATATCACGCCATCGCAGTCCTACTCCGTTCCACTCAAACTGGTGGTCGAGCCTTCTCCCGACATTTATTTATACTCTAGATTTCTACTGGACTTCATGCGTCGTTCCTCAATTTTGAACTGCGCGTCTACAGTTCCCGCTCTTATCATTGCAGGTCAGCTACTGGTCCAAAAAAAGTGTGCGGCACCAGTGTCGCGGCCATACAAGATGCCGACTTTGCGGATCGAGAAGTTTGACGACTGCACGCATCAGGACCCAGTCGTCTGGTGGCAAAACTTTACAACGGAGATTGGGATTCATGAGGTCCCTAATCACTTGTACATTTCGACGTTGTTCCTCAACGCCAAGGGCGGATGCCAGATCTGCCTCAGCCACATGGCAACTATCCACGACGTCCAGTTCTTTGATCTGCACAAGAAGATCTCCTGGGACGAGATGACGAGGGAATGGAAGAAGCGGTTCATTGTTGACGACACCCCGACGCTCGCCATTAACCGCCTCTTCAGCATGACTCAAGGCAACACACCGACACGCCACTGGCTCATGGAATGGCAAACGATTGTAGCAACACCCAATCTTTTTTTTTTTTAAATAAACGGGCTCAGTGCCTGACTTGCCATTTTCGCATATGCGTCGGGAGTTTTACAACTGGTCTTCTGCCGCCTTGAGCCTCGCACTTGGTGATCGAGAACAGTACACGACCTTCGCCGAAATCATTGACAAGGCGCATGAGATCATCAAGACCAACCGGGCTGCTGCACACGAGAAGTCAGCGTGGCAGCCAACCCATGTAGAGAAAGTAAAATTTAGTCCGCGTCCGCAGCAAGTCGCTGCAGTCCAATCGTACAACATTGTGGAAGACCCGGCAGCCACCCCAGCATCACGTGAGGGAGATCAAGTGGCCGCTATCCAGCCGCGAAGCAACAATAACTCCCATGGAAAAGGGAAGGCGAAAACTGCATCCCCGACCGGAAATGGACAGCCAGTACCATCGGTCAAGTTCAACTTGACCGAGGCCGAATACAAGTACCGCAGCCGATACGGCTGCGGCTATTCGTGCAACATCACCAAGCACAAGACCTCCCAATGCCAAGATCAAGGCAAGGAGGATGTTCGACCTCGAATCAACTCGGGAAACTGAGTTGCACGGGAGGTGAGGCGACTTCACCTCTCACTCCGCCAGATTTGGCCGCCTCGCTAGCAGCCTCCTACACATCTAGGGAGAATGTTGATGTCACGAGTCCTCGGTCCACTTACGAGGATTACGCTGTCCACTTGGTCCCATCATTGGACCAGCCACTCCACGTGCAACAATCCACTGCATGCACGGTTTCACCACCATCGGCAACCGATTCGGCAGCTTCGCCGCAAACTTTCGTCGGGGATTCAACGTTATGGTCAAGACTTGAGAGACTCGACCCATTGACGTTAGCGAACTTCCAATGGATGCCCCTTCCCCCGACCAGTCGATTGCCGAAACCGCATTGCAACGTGCTCATGGCACAATTGCGGGATTGCTTGCACACTGCAGTACCAGCTCCATTGATGGACGTCGGAGTAGAGGTTGTTCACCTTCACGACTACGTTGCGAAGATCGACCACGAGTTCAAGACACAATAGTACGACAACAACGACTCGTCATTGTTGTACATACACATTCAGATCAAAGAGGCGACCTGCAACGCTTTGATCTGATTTTCTGATACGCGCGGGCATGGAGCCACGCGTTCGAAGGAAGTCGCAGCCCACGCAAGTCACGTTAGCCGACAGTCACACACACAAGTCAATCGACCGGTGCATTGATTCCATCCCCGTGTACTTCGCCCCGCATGCAAGCAAGGTCGTGTCCTTCGTCATTATGGACACCAAGTTCAGGCAGATTTGCAAGCATCTGCACCATTGATCTACGCCAACTACGAGCGACGAAGACTAGCTAAGGAAGCTTTACAACCTGCCCCTCCCACCCGGACCTTGGTCCCTCCCTCCGACAGGCAGCTTCGCCCTCGCAGGTAAGCTCGGTCTTTCAAGGAGGCAGGGGTGTGACATACTGTGCATCGACACGGGTCTGCAGGGCGCGACCAGACGGAAAATAAGGGTCCTCCAAGCCCTATGTCGTTTCAGCCTAAAAACCTAAAAAGGAGGGTCATTTTCAGGCCCTCATAAAGTCGACCTTTCCTGAAACTTGGGCGTCAGACCTGGGATCAACGCAAGTCACTTTTAGGCCCGTTTCAAGACAACCTTTGTTTGAACTTTAGCGCCGGATCTGACACGATTCGGCATGGGCAAGAACATCTTGTTCCAAGGGTCCTGTATGAACATGCAAATGGTCTCTTGATGGCATAAGAGCGGGCACAACAGAACTGACAGGAGACAAAGTAGCCGTAGCGGCCGACAAAGCAGAAACAACAACAAAAGTAGTGGCAATCGGCGTTGACATATTGGATAGTGGAGCATAATCCGCAAGACATTGAAAATTTCGAGGAGATGCTGCTTGAAGGGGGAGTCTATGGACCGGAGCGAGATGAGGAGTGGAAGAAGCAACCACGGGAGGAATCCTTTTGAGAAGTTGCTGTATCCGTGCATATTTGTGAAATGCTTGGGGAAAGGTCCCTTCTGTCGGACAATGTGGCAAATCAAATGTCATCCTAGTAATCTCCTCATTAGACAGAGCGATGAACTCATCGTTCAAAAGTAATTGCAACATGGAAGAAGCTTCCAAATCCGAAAACCTGTTGACTTCTGACTGATTTGGTAGGCTCTATGCGTTTAGTACCATCCATATGATCCATCTACTGACTGCTGACTGATTTGGTAAGCTCTATGCCTTTATGGCTATGAGACGGGAACTTATCTTGCAAAACTAGGCACTGAAGCTGATAGCATATGTGTTTTCTTGCTCCGCAAAAACAATTAACTCACGCAAAGCGGCCCGGGGTCACCTGGCTTCCGCTGGAGGCCCCAATCTGGGTCCTGGGGATCCAACTGTCGACTGCAGGCAAACCTGAGTGCAACGACAAATGGATAATGGACCCGACACTTCAAAAACTTGCTTCATGGACATACAAACAAACCTCACTCTTTGGTAGGGCTCTCGTTATTAACAACGTGGCACTTGTATCTCTTTGGTATAAGTCTGCTATTTGACCCCTGTCCCAAGAAGCCTCGAGATCCCTGAGACAACGGGTTGCGGCCTTCCTATGGCGAGGAAACCACGAAACACAAAATGTGATGAGCATGGCCGTGTGGGAGGCGATTGTTCAACCCAAGTCTCACGGCGGTTTGGAGATTCTGGATCCTGACACCCAGGCAACTTCCCTGTCCTTGCAGTGGCTTAAAAGATTAATCTGCACACCTAACCTCCCATGGGGACCCCTAGCACTAGAGCAATAGCACAACTAGCCCCCGAATCTCGGCCTTCTACCCATCCCCTTATTTGGCTGGACGATGTGTTTTGGGCAGTCCCCAGATCCTCCCATGGACCGGTTGCGCATTCGGACCGCGTTGCAGCCCGTGCAGATCTTAAAAAAAACAACTTTTGGGCTCGCCTGATCCACGACTGGTGGCGGCGCCCCCTCCCGAACAGACCAGAGCCCAGTAGGTGGGAGGAGGTGCTTCCCCAACCTCTGTTTGGAAACCGTTGGATAACGGACCGTCAGGGGAGAGTCTTCACAAGTTTCGGAAGTCCGTGGAACTCTTGGGTCAGACACAATGTCCATAAAGTTGAACACATATGGGACAGCACACACAATGATTGGATATCAGAAACCCAACTCAGAAGTAAACTGCCACACTGCCACAGGATTAGGGAAAATCTCGCAGAAGTAATGTTCTCCCTCCCCTTAGCATGGGTGCAGATATTGCGACGTGGCCCACGGTTTCTGGAGGGAGATTGGGTGGTTATTGACGGGGATGAGGCTCGTGTCGGTAAAGTGTTGACGACTAGCCGAGAGGAAGCGTTGGTAAATCTGTTTTATAGGACCAGCTAGAACAGACTGGTACGTGGGGTCCCGAATGAGGTGTTCTGGCTCCCGATGGTAACTATTCACAGAGTGAGAGTGTTGAAGGAAGGGGACTACTGGGTAGTCTTCAGGCCCGAGCTGCCCATTCAGAAACTCCCCATCGACCCGGACGAATGGAGGTGGCAGATCCCCTTGCGGGACCCACAACCCCGATACCGGTGCCTGCACAACTTGGGGGTTAAAGCCACTTACAAGTTACTGCGATCTCGAATTAACCTGAAAGATCGGATCGTGGACCGATGGGCGAGGCACCTGAACGTATCATTGGAAACATTAAGACCAATCCAATGGTTTAAGGAGACTAAGTGTAAGCCTGCCAAACGAGCCTCACTACAATGGCAAATTGCCCACCTCTGTCTCCCCACAAACGCATGGCTCATTGACCACTCTAGCCTGGAGCAGAAAGGCACGGCCCTCCCGCGGTGTGCGGCTTGCCTGGAGAGTTTTCCATCCCACAAGGCAAAAGAAACCATTGAACATCTTTTCTTGCAATGCCCGTCCTCAACACTTGTCTGGCGATGGTGGGCAAGAATCTGAGCTGCCCTCGGAACAGACACTGACTGGCCATGGGAGTGGAGAGTCCTGCTCTGTGGACATTGGACGGCGCAAGGTGCAGCTTTCACTTCTAACCTGTTCTCGATTGGTAGGAAAGTGGTGCTGTGGGCCTCTGGAGGCGCCGTTGCATATTGACCATTGAAGGCACACATATGGGGAAGGGCGAGATGACTGAGACGATCAATATCACAATTGACACAGCAATCAGGGCTCGATGGACACGACTAGGACAGCTGACAAAGCCCCTCTCTAAAAAGACTGATATCATCCGCTACCTAAATGAATTCTGCATGGACTGGCTGGGACGGGAAAGTGGGGGAAGGATAGCAAGGGTACAATGGGATGGCTGGCAACTAGACGACAATCATCGATTGGAAGCCAGGGAGAAGAATTATCGACTCTATTTCAATGATTGGATCACGATCCCTGACGAGATCCCCCTCCCCCCTCCCACAGATTTCCCAGACCCTTTCCCCCTCCCTAATCACACATTGATGGAACTAAGCTGGTACGGCAGGGAGTAGGGAATAGAGGGAATAGAGATGGCCCGCTAAATCTGGACAGGAGAGGAGTTCGTTAGCTGGGCAGCGGAAATGGAGGATGGAGCCCCTTCATCCGGTCGCCCCCTGGAGGAAGGAGCCCCATCCTCATCATTCCAACGCCACCTACCAACCCTCCTTCTGTGCCTGCTTGAGCAGGGCCCCGGAAAGATATAGGCAAAGGTCAATAAGTCATTCCCCTGGACTCCAGGGCAATCAATGCTGACAGGTTCCAGACTCATTCTCCTCCAACAAATTCGGGTTACCTGATGTTAATGGGACACTGGACCCGGTTTCCAGCAGGTGAAGCTCCCCACCAATAGATGGAGCCTCCCCTGGGGTGATAGTGGCGTCTGCTGCTACCAGCATCACTACCACCCGTGAGGGATTGTTTAAAAAAAAAAAGAAAAAAAAAAAGATCCATTGTCGCTCATATGAGGTCATGATCTCTCATGAGGGGGTTCACCCTCTTGCCAAACTGGCCTTATTTGGCCCTTTTCCGAGCCTGGATTTGGGGTATTGGTGACACTTCAATTTTCAGGCTTGCTGCTGATGCGCCTTTGTAAGTCACTTCGGTCTTTGAGCCTCTTGCTCTGGTTTTTTTTTTTTTTTTTTTTTGCCTAACAGGTCCTTATGGTCCTGGCTCCTTGTCCATTCTGGGGAGCGTCAGTCCCGTTCGTGCGTGTTTTTGGTAATCTAAGAGCTCGTGTCTTTCTCTGAATTTCAAAAGATTTGATAACGATCGCTATTTTTGCAGTCACCATAGGCACCGCCAGGCGGCAGCCCTTCACCTCCTTTCATTTGGCCGAAACGATCCCTGACCAGCATTGATTACTCCTTGGAGGAGGATTGACTGTCCGCTTGCCCTTCCCTACTCTTCCTCTCAGCCTCTCAAGCCCATTTCAGGTCCTGTCTGATACAGCTTGACTTAACGAGACTCGTGGGAAGTTCAGTCTTCAGCTCTGCTGTTCCACTGTCATATCCTTCTTGGCGGTTCAGAGTCTTCAGGCTGATGCCACTTCTTCCAAACCAGCCTCTTGTCTGTTATGGTGGCGATCTTGCCCCGTAACAACCAGTCTCTCAAGAACGTCCCTCTCTTGATTGCGTGCTTTTCTGGGCTGTGCTTTGTTGATGCGGCCACCCTCTGCCAGTTGCTCCGGATTTCAGTTTCTACCACCTTGGCATCGCGCTTGGTTTTTCTAGATGCCTGATTGTCCCATTTCTGGCAGGCGTCAGGTCTTCTCAGACGTGGTTGTTCTGTATATTATCACCCACATGCTTAGGCTTCTTCCTTTTGGATGAGGCACTTTGGCTTCGCCGCCGAGTGGGGATAGAGGTTTGTTCGTCCACCTCAGATTACGAGCTACAGCCATGGGCTGAGACAGTTTTCAGGGAATTTACAATCTGACTTCCGTTCTGAGGCAGCAAACTGCTAGCATAGCTCCTATATTCTTCTTCGAACATTGTGCGATGGAGRAGCCCGATTGAGGAGTGAACTCCAGCTYGCCTACTTGCGCTTACGTGGAGGTTCGGCATGGCAAGAATGACAGCTTCGGTCCTGCAGCTCTATCGCTAACCATGGCCTTGCATGTTCRTATCTCYGTGGCTTTCTCTGTTGCGGATTTTTGTTTGTGTGGTGTGTTTACAGCTGTTTCCGATGCCAGAATGACGCTGGCCGGTGCTGGGGCGTTGCCCTGTGACTTGATGTAGTAGGAGTGTGAGGCCTGGTAGAGAGGTCTGGGGATTTGTCGAGGGAGGAAGGCGATCCAGTGGAAAACTGGAGAGGGCTGCCAAGACGYCCTAAGGGGGAGGGTAGTGTCTTGGTAGTGAAAACATGACAACGGAGGCTGGTATTGGATAGGATGATATTATCTTTCAAGGGCTGTGTAGGGAATAGGGGAGACTAGGTGTTGCTTAAGTATTAAGAGGTCTGGTTTGCTTAGGTGATTCAGTGAATTCATTAGTATCACCACCATCTTCAACATCATCAACTTATCCGTCAGAATCATCACCAGTATCATCATTATCATCATATGAGGGGCGCTGAGCCCGGTTCTCAGCAAGTTCGGTTCGGTCACTCCGGGTAGACTGTGAGGACCCCGGCCTCAATCTTCTTTTTGGTAATATCAGCCTTGGGCAATGGGCCCGTTTAAAAAAAAAAAAAAAAAAAAGGTACACGCAGCTGTACGCTGGTTTATCTTAATACCCGGTCTTCACTAGTCTTCTTTGCCAGAGACTTTGGCCTACCTCTGATTACGCTCGCTACGAGTTCGGTTTCTAGCTTGGATGCTTTGTGGTACTTTGGGGGGATGACGCATTTGGGGATAGGTTAGAAAGTATAAAAGGAGGCAAGGCATGGGGAAGGTCTCGTTCGTTGAGCTCTCGTTGATGACCTTAAGTCAGGAATTCTCCTGATGAGGCTATGTTCGGGATAGCTGTAATGCGCAAGGGAATGCCCACTGGACCGTGGTAAAGACACACCCAGAACTGTCGAAGTGTCCCTGACCAAGACGAGAGGGAGGAAGATGAGTCTTCTCGTCTTGGTCAGGGACACGTCAACAGCTTTGGGTTGTATGTATATTCTCTTGCGATCTTGTTCTGACCTTTTGGGTTGGCTATAAAGCTCTAATCATGTGCACTCTTTTTCCTATCTTTTCATGTGGAGGCTAGGCTACTAGAGTGGCCCGGGGTCACTTGCCCGGCCGGGCCAAAAAAAAAAGTTAAAAAAAAAAAAAGAAAAAGTAAATATTATTTTTTATTCTAAATTTGGTGAAGAATTTCGATGTAACCCTGAGGCAAAAGTTGTTTAGTTTATTGTTCTGCATAACATTTTTTTTTTTTTCCGATTTTTTTTTTTTTTTT